TAACTTGTCTCGAAGTAAATCTAATAGCAACCACAAACTTTGTGCGCGATGTGTGTGTGTGTGTGTGTGTGTGTATGTGTGTGTAAAATCTGACATTTTTAATAAAAGTTCACGTTTTTCACCTGTAAAAAGTGAGCTGTTTTTATAACTTCTGATCTTTAACCTTTTTAAGAACGTTATTTTGGAAAGAATTTTATTTTTATGAACATGAATATGATTTATGTATAAAGTGCATTAATTTTCCTGCTGCTTTTCTGAAACGCTATTTAAATCCTCCTTGTTATTTTAAATATAGAATTATACGTATAAGACTTTTACATATAAAGAAAGTTTTTCATCATAGTAAAAAAGAAAAATATTGCTCGCGGTCTTTTCAATCATAAAAATGTCTCGAAAATTGTAAAAAACTCCGTGAATTCGGACGGAACTCTTGTTTATACGAAGAACCACGCTAAAGTAATAATGGAATTGCATCGCGTCGCGGGGTAACAAAACACGTACGATAAGCCGGAGTCGTAACAAGGGTTGTCGCGATAGCGCGCAGTCGCTCACCGCGATATTTCGGTCGTAGAATTCGCGATTTTATGTACGCTTCTTATCTCGCTTCCGCGCATAGGGTGGAGAAACACGCGCTTGTCTCGACCCGTCGTATTGCCGCTCGTACGTAAATACGCATCGGTCGATGTAGGCCGGTATCACCCAAGAGACGTTAAACTGGGCCACGTTGTGTCGGCCTCTGGGCTAGAAATATCGCCGATGAGACACGTACACAGGCGAGGCGAGAAACGAGCGAAAGAAAGAGAGAAAGAGCACGATTAACCCTCGTGTGTGACTGAAACGGGCTTTACACGAGCGTATACTTTATCCCACAGTAAACCGTCGCGATGAGTCCGACACGACGATGTTTTTCGCGAAGGCGTGAGAATTTAATTGATAACTTGACAAATGCATTGATTAAAAAGTCACTATCGCTATATATCAAACACAGGTTTGCTCTCTGTTTTTCTTTCTCAATTTCTTTTTAAGCAGACGTTTAGGTTTTTGTGCACACACAACACTTGGTCGCGTTAAAACGTTGAGCGGGAAGCATCAAAGGACGGCTTTAATAACACGAAATATATGCACGTTGTAAACACGGGGCAACTCATTACCGGGTTCGTACCATGATTTAAAACTTAACAAACGTCGTATATGAAATTATGGCACGCGTTTGATGGAAAATGCGAAGGAAGAAAACCGCAATATTTTCCGAAATATTCGTACGAATGTTATATTTTATAATTTTCAATATAATATTTTTTCGGTTTGAGAACATATGGGGTAAATAAAAAGAAACTTCTTGCAGAAAGTAATTAGGGAAAAATAATTTCAAAAAATACGCAAAAATCTAGATATGTGTTACGTAATTTATAATTTATTTATTAAATTTATAAACCTTGAGCGCAGAAATTTATTATGTAGGAGAGATATATTGTAGATTTCAATATTTAATATTAATATTTAATATTCAATTTTATATACATATAATATTTGATATCGTCTGACATTTATAAATCTAATTAAGAAAATATATTTTTTTTAATATATTTTTTTTATTTAACAATATATATGTGGAATAGATAAAAAGAAACTGCTTATAGAAAGTGATTACTGCTATAGAAAGTAATTACAGAAAAGTAAATTGGAAAAGAGATATGTAAAACTTAGACTTTGAAATTATATTTATTAAATTTATAAATCTTGAGCACGCGCGCGCACATTTATTATGTATAGAAGAGACACACTCTGTTGATTTTAATATTTAACATTCTACCTCGGACGGTATTAAAACCTAAACGCTAGAAGACAGAAGGAGTTCGAAAGTATGACTGGAATGCAAAATGTCACCTGACCATTTCTCACCAGTTACTCACATGTACACGTAACCGGATTACGACGACCAAGTTAAAAGTGGCAGAGCGCAGCTGTCTTGCTAGCAGTAGCCAGCCGAGGTGTGCGTTTATCTTTTTCTCTCTCTTCTTCTTTCTCTTCCGTGTGTCACGACTTAGGGAAAATCCTGCCTTTTAAATTATTGCACGGATTTTATTTGAACTGCAAAACTTGGAAGTGACCTGCGGATTTCTGTGGCTTACAGTAAAAGAAAAAACAAACTTTTCTGCATTTCAACGTAGAGGATGATAGATCTCGAATCATATTCTCTCTGCCCTCTGATATGTACAGAGTTTCAGAGCAAGTACCGCGTAGGTTTTATTTAAATTTTATTGATTGTAGTTTAACGGCAAAAAAACAAGAAAACATTTCTATTAAAAACATTAAAATGTATTTTTAATATAATTTATCTGTGAAACATTTATTATAATTTAAACATATATATCTATATGTATACATAAATTATACATATATATGTGTTGTGTGTGTATATGTTATATATATACATATATATATGTATGTAAATTCTTTTTAAGTGACGACAATAAACGTTGTCATAGCGACTCCTCTTGCGCGCCATTCTACACTACGGTCGTTGATCTTCGCGCCGAGTGGATAAATGTGCTGGAAAAGCCAGCTTCCGGACTGTACTCGAGCGGCTTTGGCACTGACACGAACGATGATGAGAGATCGTGATATTAATCGCGTACATTAAAGTTGAGAGAGTCCCTCCCCTATCGCGCTTAAGAATATTTCCGGGCGATTGCAGTTGACGCGCAACGAGCAATAGTGCGCGAGCTGGTGAGTTCCCTTCCATCGGACGTTGTTTCGATTTTACGACAGATAAAAAGCGCTTCTTTCTCTTTTCTACGTCTTTTTCAATTTTAGTGTAAAACTATACTCGTCCAAGAAAGAAAAAGAGAGAGAGAGAGAGAGAGAGAGAGAGAACTCGTAATCATCTTTCTAAATCTTGGAAGACTTATATTTGCGACGAATACGAATCTATGTCACTGTGTTTCTGAGCCTCTTTTTCTCGCTGATGGGAAATGCCTTCGAAAAGAGGTGGTGGCGGTCTGCAAGAGGGTGCCGCATATCTACCTCCTTGTTTTATCTTATTTTAAAAGCGCGCGGCTTAGAGAAAGAGACGGTAGTGTGCAACGCAGCCTTTGAACAGCCTTGGCAATGGAGTGCGTTCGCCAAGGAGCACTTTCCGGCATCGTGAGCATTGTCGTGCAAGCCGAGAAAATACATCGGCCTTGGAAATATCGACGAGCGTAAATTAAGAAAGTTTTTTCCCCTTCCTAAGTATTGTTCAGAACGGCTTCCCGTGTGCCGGAGATTATCGCGATGCGATAACAATCGCGCTCGGATTTTTTTTTTTTTTTTGTTTTTCTTGTATAATCCGTATTCGATAAAAAGTAGTAAAAAAATACTCGATTTATATTGCAAAAATTCAGATTTATGTGACTCCGTCGAATTCTGGTTGATTTTATCGAGGAATCGTCGATTGTTTATATATTGTATATTCCGATAACATGTTTCGTTGTGGTGTTATATTTATTTATAACAATCTCGCGCAAACAAAGTTTCCGATATCGTTGTTAATTTCGAGTAGCGGGTAGATTAAAGGCGCGCCGTTATTTGATTTGACATTATGCAAAATCATCCAGCGCGTAAATTTCTAATGCGCAATTTTTTCACGTCACGATCACGCGTCACGAAAGTCACGAAACAACGTGCTTTTTGTACATTGAGCGACAAATAACAAAGTCCAAAAACGTACTTGAACACGATGTCTGTTATTTTAGATAAAATAAATAGCGACGTGCACGTAGGAAAGCACGCGTATATATTTTACGAATTTCACACTCGACCCATGTAAAACGGATAGCGGATTCGAAACAGACATTTCATTAATGATGATAATATATTTCGTGATAGGAAATTTTATTCAGTGACTTGACGTGAAATATGTTTTGAGACAAATCCGCGAAATAAAATTTTCGGATAAAAGCAGAATATTAGTTTGAAATTATTAGAAAAGAAAAAATGTCTACTCGCGTATTTTATCGCACGAAAGTTAATTCGATAAAATCTCTTAGCTTTCATTACGACACGATTTGTTAGGATCTTCTTTCTTCCTCTTTTTTTGACGTATCTCAGATGATCTTAGAAAATCGTGTCATGTGCGAGCGAGCCATTGATCCTCTGTGGGCGAGGTAGGGAAATGAACGAGGATAATTGTACTCGCGTGCACTTGCTTTTGACCGCCCTTGACAGTGAAACGCAAACCGCCGTGAAATACTTTCCGCAACCACGGGCATTACTTATACATCAAAGCGACGGTCTACGTCGGCCTTCGGCGTATCGATTTCATTGATTCGTACACGCAAAAAGTCAGAGTAGTCTATTTAAACCTGGATTTTCTCCGATCTGGTTTTCTCTCGCATTATTGGACCGCGTCTTATACATCCGGTCGTTGTTCCTCCACAAGTGTCGCGAGCGTCGATAATGTTAAACAGCCACATCCTGTTTAGAAATTAATTGGCCGAGGCGTCCAAGTTTATTCCCAACTAAATTTGGCCACGTCCAACTTGGATAGCGCCGATTTATTTATGGCACACGCGAACGTATAGACATCCCTCTGTTTACGTTTTTACCGTCTCCTGGGACAGAGAGCGAACATATCGTAATATACAATGATGAAATTTTAACGAGATGATTACGGCCTACGTTGTACGTCTTGAAATATATGCGAAGTTTGTCTTTTTCTGGTTATTTCTCGAGCGCTCCTCGGCAACGGAAAAGTGTCGTCAAATGTTATCGATTTCAACGACACGTCTTTAGTTGTGCGTTAACACAAAATAAACTTTGAACTAAATATAAAATATGTTGCACGAAAATACAACAATTATTATAAAAAAAAAAAACAAATAATCTCTTCAAGCGAGTTTTTTTCCTTTTTTAAATTTTAATTTTATTACTTTTATTTTATTTTAACATTTAAAGTTGATCATTTTAAATGTAATCAGAAACTTGATCTGGAATCGTTCACCGAAAGTTTATTTCAGAGAGCTCTCGGCGCTGAGGTCTCTTCTCAAAATGGCAGGAGGCAGCCGAGAGATTCGGCAAGACCCTGAAGATTGCTCATAAGTCATCGGCCGGGTCTTCTTTGCAAACAAGAGGGTGTTCCAGAGTAGCGAGGGACGGGGGTGGTTTTTCTTCTATCGAGATGAGCGATCTACAGGCCACCCTCGAGTTCTCCCTTGAGCTATGCAAGTTTTACAATGTCGACCTCTTTCAGCGCGGGTAAGAGATTTAATGCTCGTATCGTGCGGCGATGCGTGTGCGAAACGTTTTGGGGCGATAACGCGCGGTTCGCCGAAAAGTTCGAATCTATCAAAGAAAACTTCTGTACGCACACAGGTATTACCAGATCCGGACCGCCCTCAGAGTGTCCCCGAAGATACCGGTCAAGGTGGAGGTCAATCAAGCACGAAACCGTAAGCATCGCCCATAGCGGAGGCTATTTTTAAGCGCCTTCTAAGTCTTGTGGTTTAAAACGTTTCCTTTTTCTCTCTTCGGCACTTCACATTTTTTTGTCATTTTCATTTGTTACGCGAGAGCATCGCGTGAGCCTTGCGACTTTCCCACGCTGTATTATCCAAGTTTCTGTGTCACGCGAGAGAGTATTTTGCTGAATTCATTCACCCCGCAAATCGATCGATTTCGCCGGTCGTATTCCTCGGGACGAGCGACGGCAAATTTGGCGGACAGGCGCGCGCCGTTGTGTTGCAGACTCCCTGGAGGCACCGGGCACGAGTAAGTGCTTCCAGATACTCTACAAGAACGAGGAGGTGACGCTCGGCACTTCCGTACTGTTCCGGGCGCACGTGCTCGTACACAGTCACAAGATTGAGGAGGCCCTGTCGCGCACCCACTTCAATCTAAGCGTCGAGCTATGGTTCAGCGAGCTGGCGCAGCCGGGCAACATGGCTTGCGTGTCCTCCAGGTAAGCGTTTTTTTTTTTTTTTTTTTTTTTTTTTTTTTGCCGTCTCTTTCCCTCCCCGCACAAGCACGGCAAGAGTGGTTTTGCAAATGACAACCAGTCCGTTTGTTTTTCTTACCTGTTTTATTTTTTACGTTTAATTGAAACATCTTCAAAAAGTATGTTTGTTTGTGAAGATGAAAACATCTTTTTCTCTAACACGTCTGTGTTACTTATCGACACGAGTTTTATACTTCAGTTGACTTGGTAATTTCCGCGCTCGGAGATGTGTTTTCATTTGCGACTTCTTTACGTATTACAGAGAAGATCGGAAGCACTAATTGATATTCAAAATAATTAGAAAAAAAAACAAAATGTACGCAATATTATGTGATATCGAGTATATCTCTCACATTCTTTAGAAAAAATATTAATCTATCTTTATACAAAAAACAAAGTTATTCAGTGCTGAACACTATCGTGCGCATTTGTCAACTTACCCCATATCCAGAGTTGGTTGTTACATTTCTATTACGTAGAGAAATAAAGTAAATTTCTGTTTTTATGTTTATTTTTATTTGTGAAATTCTATATCATTGTACAATAAGTATAATTACTCATAAAACATCAATAATCATTTATTTATAACAAAAAGCAATTTTTAAAAATGCGAGTAGTAAATATAAGAAAAATTATCTAAAATTATCATATTTTTTATACCTAAAGTAAAAGTGCGATCAGGAATTTCAAAATCAATGAAATAACTAAACTAATATATAAAAATATATAAAAGTATAAAATAAAAAACTACATTATAAAGAACAATATTTTTGTGTATTTAATAAGCAAGATTATTAGTTGTGTAACAACTATAGCTCTGGTTTTTCTTATTTGAGATAGTACATCAGTTGAAGATGACTTAACAACGAAGTCAAAACACATTGAACATTTTGTTTTCAATATTTACTTTGCACAACCCGCGCTTGGCTCGTATTTGTGCCTATTTTTATTGATTTGAATTTACCTCATCGAGCCTTCCTATGTTGATTATTATGAAATATTTTATTAACAATGTACGTAAGATAAACGGTTTGAAAGTAGTTTTTTTAATTGTACATCAGACTTGCGTTAGATATTTGTTCATTGAATTATTCGAAATTGCCCAAACTGATCGACGGCAATTATGATTGAGAGTCGTTTGTCGAAGCCCGTGATCGATGGGAGGTTTGACGAACGTTCTTTTTCAGGGCATTACAGCTGAATTTTACACCAACGAAGGGACTTCATTACCATCTGCCCGTGCTCTTCGATTACTTTCACCTCGCGGCGGTGTCCATCACAATCCACGCCTATCTCGTGGCTCTTCATCAACCATACATCAAGTAAGTATCCCTCGACCGCGCTCGTATTTCGCAACTACTCCATGTGTAATCGACATTTTATCTCATGAGAGCTCTTCGGTGGGTTTTTTTTTTTTTTTAGGAAAAGCATACTACAGGTAGTGCAAAGCTGGTGAGTTTTTGATATTAAAAACAAAAACAAAAAATCTTGAAATTTTATTAAATCTTCTTTACCAGTTGTACGATTATATTTGCCTTGTTTTACATAACTCGATCTTTCGATTGTGATATGAGAAAATCGTAAAATGATTATCGCAGCGCACCGCGAGGTGGAAAACCTTGGCTTCAGTTTAAACAAGCGGCGGCGAACGGCGACAGCAGCGCGGCGATTTTCGGAAATATCGTAAGTTTTAAAATAATTCGACACATCTGACCGATGTACAATCAAAACAAATTCAAGATCACGGATTATTTCAGGAGACGACTACAAGGTGCGTCGGATCGGCGACCAGGATACAGAACGCGAGACTGATTCAGCAAGAGGTCACGAGGTTGCTGTTAACCGCGAGGGAGTCGTTGCTCAATGATTTGACGGACTTGTCGCGGCTTCTTCCCGCGTGGCAGCAAAGAGCGCTCGAACTCAATCAGAAAACGCACAAACAGATCAACAAGGTTCGACTTTTAAATAAATTTCTACTTCTTGCAGAAGTAACTTTTTCTTGAAACTTCATCTCTCTTTTTATATTCTCATTTTTCGCAGTGGATAGACGCCGAAGAGGCTGACATAGCCCAACTTTGCGCTCAAAACATCGTTCTGTGGCAGCTGTTCTTAGAAGCGTTCTCAGGCCGCGAAGCAGTTCACGAGCATCTGGCGCGAGTTCATCATCAACTGAGAGTTAGTGTAACGACAATCTTATAATCTATTGAAATAATAATCGAAGATGCGCAGTATGAAATTCAACTAACAAATTTCTTTGCGAATGATGCAACTGATATTGTTAATTTGCAGGTCAAACGTTTCGCGGAAGGTTTCTTTGTGTTAGAGAATCCGCGAACGTCGGCAGCGGGTTGTTACGACGCGAATTATCAGTCTTATCAAGCGGTGAGCGAGGCTGCCCGAAGATCTCGTTACCTCGCATCACTGCCACCGCTTCCGGTTCACTGTCCGGAATTGGATGGTGATCTTCATTCATTGCCTTTAATATTCGAGGATCAGTACGCTGACATGCAGCCGCAGAAACACAGAAATAGCGGTGAGCCATTGCTAAAATATATGTTTAAATTATGTCAAAATAAATCAATTTTGTCTCGTAGTGTATATAGTTTTCTAAACTAATAATATATATCGTTTTTTTTTTAATATTGTTTATATTGTATGTTTTTTCTAGTTCCTAACATGGACGACTGCAGTTGCGGGATATCAGCGATACTGGAATCGCGCACTATGGGCATTTGGTCGCCCAGGAGCGAGGGCGCGGCTCAGGACATGGATTCGATTCAAGCCCGCCTTATGCTGACGCCTTCTACACTGCCGGCTAGGCACAGCAAATCGCTCGATCAATTGGGCCCCGAACTGGCGGCACCTGTGCAGCCGAAAACGTCGCCGAAGACTCTGCCCAGGTCCGTGTCGACCCAGCTGTTTACGCGGGGACAGCGTGGCAGCAGTCGCAATGTCACGCCGCCCGCGACAGTGCCTTCAAGAGGAAAAGCCAGGTCGAGAGTGCCGTCCAGCTGCACCCTCTTCCCGCCCTCGGGTCAGCAACAGGCCTGTTCGGCGCCAAATCCATCCCTCGGCTCGACACCGGTGATTCCCTTGCCACGAGCCAAATCCACGCAGATGCTGGTGCCGAATCGGCAGCAACAGCACCAGTTCGACCACCATTCCACTTCCATTACGTCGCTGCTGGCGGCGATGTTCCCCGAACCGCCCGGCGGACACCTACCCGGTTACCGACCGTCAGTGAAATCCTGTGATCACAACGTGACGATGCACAACTGCACCTTGGGCGCTTTGGATCTCAGTCGACTACCCGACTGTATGAAACAGGAAGACAAATCGGCAAATGTAGTGGAAGGTGTGAAAAATAAAATAACAAGATAATATGATGAGACGGAAATTCCAAATCCAAAGTATAAATAGTCAGCTCGAACCAAATGCGGGAACGTTGTGCAACGAATGCACTGAAATTTATTGAAGTCGAAACGATTTTGGAAAATTAAATTTAACATTTATTGCATAACATCCCGCATTTAGGTTCGAATTGCCTAATTTAAATTTTGGATTTGAAATAAAACAACATTGCCACACAGAACACGTTATCGATCAATTGAGTTTTTCTTATAATTAAGAAATTCTAATACCGACCTAATGTATTTTCTCTGTATTTGGCTTGATAGATTATCATTCCCTCGACACTAGGAGAATACGGCTGGAGCCGCGAAGCCATCGTGTGCCAACGGCGCGCCAACCGCTGCCAACTACGAACGACCAAAATAGTAGCTTTTTATCTGCCAAGGCGAACGAGAACGGCGAAAGTTTTTTACAAGAACCTCAACCGCTGCATACCGTGACGCTGGACAGAGTCACTTATCGGAGAAACTGCAAGAAGTCTGGACATCTAACAGGTGGCAAATACAGTCAAGCGAACGGCGTCGAGACACGTAGATATCACACGCTCGGCAAAACAACGATGACACACAGAAGTCGTCCGGAGATACCGGAGTTCATGAATGGCAGCGCGCTGACCAGCAGCCACTCGCTTCTGGTGGATCCTCTGAACAAACGATCGTCCAATTACTACGCGACAACCGCCGACACATTCTTTTATCGCACAAACGGCAGCACCAGCGAGAGAATTCGCGACGAGATGGATAACAAGCCGAAGAGGCCGAAGAGCACGGAACGTCTGATCGACGACGTAGAACGCAACGAGTCCTATGACTTCCGGCGAGACCGGCCGATTCGCAAGAGATCAGAGCGCGCGGTCAAGTCGCCTCGCAACGGTCCGGTTCAGAACTACAGCAACGAGAAACAACAACGGCGCGGTCAAACCGAAAAGAAGACCTCGGAAACGCCTCAGGAACCGTTTTACGAGGTGATAGCCACGAAACCGGAATCGAAGAGAGAGTCACGTGGCGAGAAAAAGAGAGACAAGCACAACAGAAGACCACATTCCGCGCCAGTTCTCGACACGGATCATTCGGTGGAAGAGAGCGGTCACAAGCACGAGAGAAGATGCAGTCACCGGAACAGAAAACCGGCGCCGCCGCCGCCAGCATATCAGGACCCCGCTGTCGCTCCTTTACCCAAGTATCGGCATTCTTCTTCGACGCCCGCGACGAGTGTTCTCGAAGTGGAAAACAACAATAAAATAATTCTGAAGGTGTAGGATAACGAAGGATAAAACATATTACTTATGTATTTTTTTTTTAAGTTTTAACATATTACTGTCCTTATTTTATAGATGGAACCCATAAAGTCGCCCATGGAGGCACCCAGGACCAACGGCACGACACCGTCGGACGTATCGAGCGTCGCGGTGGCGCAGCAAAACGTAAAAAGACTGAGATGCGCCAGTGTGCCGGTGGCGCAGAACAAGATGGTGGTGCCTCGCAGCGCGGTTTCCCTACCCTGCATGCCGATACGCGACAGCAAGGACAGTCTGACCAATAATCTGCCGGTGATACCGAATCTCCTCAGTCCTCCGTCCACCAGGCCCAGCAGCCCCACGAGTTCGAGCTCGAGCAATCTCATGTCCGAGTGCTCGGGTTGGGTGAGCAGCGGCGACACTTCCAGCTCGGAACAGCGTCGTAATCACGCGAAGCTTTCGAGCGAGCAGCTGCGGCAGAAACTGTCGAAAATTGTGCCGCGCAAAGAACGTCCCACGATAACGAAGGAGACCGTGGAGGAGCATTCATACGAGGAGGTGCGGCTGCCGCCACCGAAAATGTTTCAGGACGAGCCGCCGCCACCCGAGGAGTTTCGTGACCCGCCGGCGCCGATCGACAACCCGCTTTACCACGTGTACGAGACGGTGAAGCAGACCAAGAGCCCGAAACAGAACAAGACGGCACCTTGCAGTCCGCAACGAAATCGCGACAGAGACAGAGAGACCACCTACGGTATTCGGGACATTTGTTTGGACTGTTATCAGGAGGGCAAGGAGTTGTTACAGTCCACGCAGGACGACTTCGCTAATTTTAAGAAATGTAAGGACGAATTCAAGCGACAGATGAGCTTCTCAGGCAAGATCTACAGGTACGTCGAAGTCTCGCGTACTAGTGATTCGCGAGCCAGCCCTTCCCTTAGGTTCGCTTCTTCAGGACTAGTGTTCATCGAGCATGAGCTGTGAAGATATTGTCTACTATCTTTTTTTTTTTTTACGACTGCAAGCTAAACGAGCTGCCAATTGTAAAGCTCGAGTTGTGCGTTTGATAAAACGAAATTTACAATTCTAACAAAACTCGCTTCGAACAGACAACACTTAGACAATTCCAAACACAACTATCAAACAATTTATTCTTTTCAAATTATCTTTTAGATATTAGAATTTAGTTCGTTAAAATCATGATTATATGCGTTTCACATTTTCTCTTTTCTTTTTTTTTGTTAATTTTCAACTCGACTTCTCTACTTTTTGAGAGTTCGGTCTCGTTGGGAGTGGCGCCAGTTTTGCATTTCGCTTCCGCGCTCTTTCGTCCGTTTTTTCCGTTTATGTAGTTAAGTTTTCTCTTCTCTCTGTCTATCTTACCTCCCTCTAGAGAACACGAGGAAGCACAATTGAGTTTACATAAACGTGCTCGTTCTCTCGGATACGGTGACCCACTGAACTACTCGCCGTTGATTCAACCATTAAGATCCAACCATGTGCCTCTTAGTGACTATCCGATCCTGGCCTCGACGCTGCCGTACTTTCACATCAGCGACGAGTATCGGATGTACTCGCCGGAAGGGGCGCACCTTATCATATGCGTTCACGGTCTCGAGGGCAATCCCGCCGATCTCCGTCTCGTCAAGACGTATCTGGAATTGGGTCTGCCCGGGGCAAATCTGGATTTTCTGATGTCCGAGAAGAACCAGGTAAATTATAATCAAGTGGCAACGGAACGGCATTACAATCTTCAAAATGATGTGATTTTAGAATTAATTTAAATATGCGCATGTTAAATTTGTTTTCTTTGTAAATCGTTCGCGCACAAAAGGGCGACACGTTCTCCGACTTCGACACCATGACCGACCGTCTAGTCGCCGAAATCATCTATCACATCGAGTCGTCCGGTTTGAATCCGACGAAAGTGAGTTTCATCGGCCATTCGCTTGGGAACATCATCATCCGGAGTGCCTTGACGCGACCGCAAATGCGCCCGCTTCTTCCCCGTTTGCATACTTTTCTCAGTTTGAGCGGACCACACTTAGGCACTTTGTACAACACCAGCGGTTTGGTGAACGCGGGTGAGTGAACCTTGGCGCGCATCTCCTTCATATTTTACTGAATATTCAACAATTGAACAATTTTCATTAAATTTGCGCAGGCATGTGGTTTATGCAAAAATGGAAGAAGTCCGGCTCCCTGTTGCAACTGGCTATGAAGGACGCGTCGGACGTGAGACGATCTTTCATGTTTCGTCTGAGCCAGAAAAGCAATTTGCAGAAATTCAAGCACGTGTTGCTGTGCGGCAGCGCGCAGGATCGATACGTACCCTTGCACTCCGCCCGAATAGAGCTCTGCAAGGCCGCCGTGCGAGATCCGACAGAACAAGGTGTGATTCTTTACATTTTTTATGATTTGTTTAAAAAACAACTCAATATTGTATTATTGCACAAAAATGAATAAATAATTTATATAATTAATCCCGTTGCTGTTGACGCACGGATGAAAAAAGTTCTCGATCGGTTTTTTTTTTTTTTTTCAGGTGCCGCGTATCGAGAAATGGTACACAACATTTTGTATCCCGTGATGTCAGCGCCCAACGTCAGCCTCGTCAGATACGATGTGCACCACGCTCTTCCACCGACGGCGAACGCCCTGATAGGCCGAGCCGCGCATATCGCCGTCCTTGACTCCGAGCTTTTTATCGAGAAGTTTCTGCTAGTTGCGGGACTGAAGTATTTTAGATAAAGAAAGGACTGTCTAGTGCCATGAAAAAAAAAAAGTAACTAATTGAACTTATTAAATAACTAAGTGAGATCAAAGAGAAAGAGAGAGATAAAGACACTCAGAAGTGCTCGGACTCTTCGAAACATATGCGTGTCGAAAGTGTCGCAGCGCCAATTTTTTGCGATGTCTTTAACGATCGTATACCTAGTTATAATTTCTTAACTGTCTTTATTGAGGGTTGCCTCGCTTTTTTTTTCCGAGGAAACGAAATCTCATCTCAAAGTGAGGCAATTCGAACTTTTTTACACGAAAACAATTTTAGCGCAAAGCGTCGTTTAGGTGTATCTTGTGTATCATCTCGATGTCGATCGTAGACGCGAAAATGTCGCGGCGGCGATTTGTCACGGCGATCATAATAATCACTTTCGCGAACGCATCATCAAGAAATTTTCGTCTCGTGGCCATTTAAAGTCGAACAGATCTGTAGAACTCGCTGTGAAACGGACCTATCTTCCAGTGATAGTAAACACAGTAGCACTCTCTGGAAATGAAAAATAACGGAGGACACGCAAGAAGACAATGGCGTACAAAAGTCATACGCCTGGAAAATTTTTAGTGTCATGCAAAGTGATCGAACTTAATCCTCGATAATCGGAACGAAAACTGATTCACGCGCTTTGGCGGCCTAGCGAAGAGAAAACAAGCGGTCGAGCACATCAGCTTCATCAACGTTGTTACGATTGAAGGAGAAAAAGAATAAAAATTCATCACGCGACGGAAATTCGCAAGAATGTAGGTTGAGTTTTTGTTTTTGTTTATTTTTTTTATTTTTTTTTGTTTTTTTTTTTAAGGCAAAGTTGAAACTCCACCGAGCGAGGGCTTTGTTGGACGTACAGACACGCACACATATTAAGCAAAAACAAAAAAAAACAAACTAATAATAAAAGTATTAAAATGTAAGACAATGCAACGATTACACATTGTCTAGTCGCATAGGAAAGTTACGAAACGTATGTCAATTGTTATTCTCAGATAAGTGTGAATGCCGAGTGCGAGATGAATGCGGAGAGTGGATGGGAGTTTTTGGATGAGAGTGTTGAAAGTAAACGTGATTACGCGAAAGATAGAAAGTTGCTTATAGAAAAATGATAACGAAACAAAGAAATGCGTCAAAGAGAAAAAAAAAAAAAATTAAGAAACGTACGATCGCGAAATCTTAATTCATATTATCACCGGCAACGAGAGATCTCGGAAGAAAAATGCGACAAAAAATGCATTTCCTCTTAGTGAAATAAAAAAAAAAAAAAATGAAGACTCGCGTCCTGAAACGAGAAGGAGAATATCGAGGAAAATGCGAAAACGGATGCGATGATGCGACGAGAGTGACTAACGTTTCAGGTATATAAAATCCCTCCAATATTAAATCTCAATTGCTCAGAACAATCTATTGATAAAGAACAGAAAGAGAGAAGAAAAAAACGAGAGAGAGAGAGAGAGAGAAGGAGAGAAAGAGAACGAAGAGAGAAAATTTATATTAATCGCAAGTGGCGGAGAAAGTTGAGGCGGCGCGTTCGCAAAGTCCTATGAGAGATTGTCGTTGAGGAAATGAGAAACACACACTAATCGCATAAATGTCACCGGCGCAAAAATGAGGCTTCGTACTTCGAAAACGGTCACGTGCAAATATATTTCTGTGAAAGAGAAATACAAACAAACTTTCGAGATTAAATAAAATAAATGTCATAGATGTTCGTACTCTGTGTATTACGTTTTTGCTCTCGTTTTAACCTTTTTAAACAGAAACTCTACTCTGTGTCGACCACGTTTCCCCGTTTGTAAACGTAATGTGAAACAGTACACGCCGACGTTCTGATCGAACGATAATCACGAATGTGACACGCGAATTCACGACGATTTCCAGAATCGTTGAAAAATTGAGGACTGAAGTACGAGGCGTCCATTTTATCGCGTGTTGTTCTAGAATTTTTTTTTATGGAATGGAAAATCATATACAAGCTATCACTTTGGAAGGATTCGCGAGATTTGGAGTTTATTCGCGGATCGGCACCGTCGCAATTTCTGAAATTGCGTAGCGAATAATGTTTTATTTTATTTTATTTTATTTTTTTTGTTTATTTTTGTTTCACATATGTGAGACATATATTTTATCGAAGTAAATCGATGTGTACATGATGGATAGCTCTCTATAATCTTCCACTTCATAATTCCTGCGTTACACATCTATGCGCGCGCGCGCGCATAGAATATAACGATTTTTACAATTCTTCCGTGTGTTGAAAATAAAGAAAGACAGAACCATACGGATCATACGTCGGCTCTCAATACACGAATGATATCGAATGATTTCGTGAATCTCGTATCACTCTAGCTCGTGTTGCGCAGCGTAGTCCATTTAATTTCCTGTGTAAGAACGTGCGAAGCATGTCTGCGCGTGTTGTCACGAGATAATCATTTATAATCGCATAAACATAAAACGTCACATACCGAGTGATTGCGTGAAAATACATTTATTGCCAGAAAAGACGTTGTTTTCTCAAATAAATCTCGCCGATGACGCTTTTACGTGCGTCAATCGCGATCGATCGCGATCGGGTCGACCAAAGTCCCCTTTCTCTTTGTCTGCTGTCAGCGTCTCGTCGCAAATCGCGCGCAATTTTACGCGGAAGAGACGACGAGTTCGAAAGGTTTTCGATTACCCTTCGAACGTAAGGATCGTAAGGAATTTTCATTGCTGTCCTATTGTTTGCTCAATTATAACGTCATTCCACTTTCTCTGCTCGAGTACGAAGCAAACACACGCGTATCCTTAAACGTGTTCATGTTCTAGTCGCAAATTGTTGACTTCGTACTCTCGCGATGTAAATTTAAGTTATTTTTTATCTTATCGTCTAAGGTGCAATTTATCTTCCGGGAGTTTACCGGAGATCGAGGTCGCAATCGGAATTTTCGCGCACGCGCGCGAATTCCGTTTTCTTAATAACGTTTTTGCGGAGATTTTCCCCGGACTATACCTTATAAGGACATAAGATCGTTGTTGTGTCTTGATGGATAGGTTCGTACGTAATTTACAATTTATTCGTGTTTATCCATTTCCCTTCCTCCATCCTATAAAACGTTGTTCTGGCTGAACACGATCGAGCACGTACGTGGCGGGTTTTCCGCGTTTACAAATTTATCACCGAAACGTCTCGAAACGATTAATGAGAAGTTAACGAAACGTAATTTGGCTTGTTTCGGACTGACTAAGTTTTTTAGGGCCCATCTTTTAGAGAGAATATATATATATATATACACACATATATATATATGTGAAAAATTTTAGATATATATAAAATCTAAAACTGAAGAGTAGAAAAGAATGTACCTACGATATCAAAAAGTTGAGGGAGTTTCTGAGCGACTTGCGAAAGTTGTGAGTCCGAGATACTCTCCAACGGCTCTTTTTCTATTTCAAACTCGACATTCGAAAATAATTTTAAAAAACAAAAAAAAAAAAAAGAACTCGCTATCGTATTGCGCTTGTGTCGCAATTATCGAGTACGTCACACAGCCGGATCCGACACTAAAAATATCGACACCGCGCAATTGTTAATTGAAACATTTGTGAAAAAATGAGAGCGTGTGAGAGAGAGAGAGAGAAAGTGAGAAAGTGAATGAAAAAAAAGAGAGAGAAAGATCGTATGTACCAATGCAAACACGATTGGAAGACACGCAGTTGTCGTTAAACGAGGAACACCAATATGAAGAAGTATATACTATGTATATACAACACACAATGTACTCACTATACATAATATATGATTACATATATGAAAATGAATAAATCTACGTTTACATAAATGAGAAATAGATTAATAAAAAATCTCAAGCCGACACACGCGCGTTGTTGTTACTTACTTGTGCGCGATGTATACAGGATGTCTGAAAAATTTCGACACAGCCGAAATGTAAAGATAGATTGAATCAATCTGAACAGAAAAGTCATTTACCATTTTGCAATATTTATTGTGTTATTAATTAACAAATGTGAGTCAATGACCGTGTGTAAAGCGATGATCCGGAGGCTGCTGTATAGGTATGTATGATTTTCAATTGTGCCCCTGTGAAAATCAGCTGTGTCACACGCCGCTCGTAAGTGTTGTTTGCTCCGCATCTCGTTGCTAGGACGTTGCATTAGATGAGTCATTTTTCTTTAGAAACTGAAGAAAAATGATGATCTATCTTCACTTCGACTGTGTCAAAATTTTTCCGACACCTTGTATATGCACGTTTTACCTGATAAGCATAACCGATAATCTGCGCGCGACCGAGAGAAATAATTTTTACTTGAAGGTGTCTTCGTAGCTGCGGGAAACTAAAGGTAAGAAAAAGATTAAGAGAAAACACGGAGTAAAAGAGAAAAATTTTTGAGTGAAGAGAGCGATTTAATCGGATTAAAACAACAAATCGTGATTATACATGCGAATCTCGAACAAAGGTTCGCGACATCGAGATACACGTGTAAGAACGGAAAACGTATAAAAAAAATAACAACGTCGCTTCGGTCACGAGTGTAAAGTGTCGATATGAGAATATGGGCGCAATCCCATATTCTCGCTTCTGAGAAATATAAATACAATCGCGCACAGAACGTCGCGAGTAAACTACACGTCACACTGCGCGCATAGTAGATTTACAAAAAAAAAATACATAAAAAAAACAATAATATTGCCTATAAAAGAATCTCGTTAAAATTGCAGACGCGCAAAGATTTTAATTCGCTACTTTTAAAATGTCCGCGCGATAGAGCTAATTGCGATAAGTAATGTACGAAAATGATTTTTACAAAAAAAAAATCATGCTAATGCGCAACGCAATTCAATTAGAAGCCTTCTCATTTTTTTTTTTTTTTTNTTTTTTTTTTTTTTTTGTTCGTCAACTCGGCTTTCTCTTTTCTGCGGCGAATGAATTGAATTCCGTTATACAATTTAAGAAGCCAGTTTAGACTAACAATACAATGGACACATTGTGGCTCCAACACAATGTGGCCATTAAAATGCTCGCTTTCTTATTTTTGCGAATATAAAAAAAAGCACGGAAATATTTTCCTCGCGCGAAGTCAGATGATTGAAAAGTCGGTTAGAAGAATCGCGATATTGTGTGAAGATTTTGCGTGACTATCAGAAGTAACATTCCGAGTAATATTTCTCATCGGAATATATATATATGTTTAATAATGTTTTAACAAATTTTCGTTAAAAAGTACACGAATTCTAACCGACGTTTCAATTTTAAACGATCTTCTAATCGAGCTCTTGTATAATGTACAACGGTTCGCCCTGCATCTCTTCCACGTCATTGCCGTCGTCCTCTTCGTAGAAATGTACTATCCCGTCGGCCATACCGTCGTCGGCCGAGTTCGCAACACGCTCCTCCGACTCGTTCACGTCGATCTGCCCGTCCTCTTGCGCGGAGATTATGACGTTAGTCTCCGCGGAACCCTCACCGGGCTGATCGGACGTCTTTCCCCGACTCTTCGAAGTAGCCTGTCCTGAAAGGTCACACGCCGGCATTTAGTCCGTCAAGACTCCTCTTCTCTTGCGGAAAAGGTGAAAAGTCGCGGTAAATGGGCCGCGACAAGAAAAAATCCCGAATAGCGAGATATAATCTCGCTTTGCATATTTTCAATACTTTTTACAATGTTAAATGCAACGGAGATGTTTATTTTAACGGCGTCTCTGAATGGAATATTTTACTGATAATTTACGGCAAATCTGAATACACTTCGGTGTATTGGTTTCCTGCCAATAATGCTTTTAGCGGAACCGCAAAAATTTGCGACGCCGCGATGCTTCTACACCAAAAATATCGAAATTGCATCACAAGAAAGCGCGTTTAACGCATACAACGGAAGTGTGTGTATCACAAGATGCAAGGAAGTTGAGTGTGTATAGTCGAGGGTTTGATCATCCTCCTTTCGCGATTCGCCAACAAAGGCTGCCGAATAGGATATTATACCAACCTTGACCGAGATCGCGCGCTTTGCCCAGATAGGAATATTCCCGCGCGTTCGCTAAACCCGCTATCACACAAGCGCTGAGTGCGCTGCGGCTAAGATTCATGGGAGACGCGTCGTACCATTCATTGTAATCCGCATCATAGCACTCGACGTACGCGATTGTGCTCGATCCTGTAATAAACGTTCAGAAAACGTAATCTGCTTATTTAAACGCAAAATGAAATCGCGCTCTGACGACGTGTGTGGTCTTTCGCACGGCTTTTGAAATACTTTTAATAACATTGTGACAATCAGAAATCACGTTGTCGTTATTGTACATACTTTGATTTATAATATATAAAAGAGAATATAAATTTTTTAATTAAAAATTCAGGGCCATCGCGAGCCAGTAGACTAGAAATGTATGTTTTTTAATTTTATTAAATTAATCACACGTTTTGGTCTATTCGTTAAAATCTTCTTCGGAGTGATTGACTAATTCAATGAAGAAGAAGAAAATTACCAGCGTGCAATAATGTGTACACAATTTATTTGTATGCAATATTTCTGTATTTTTGAATAATTGTTATTATAGTAAAAGCAATTTTTAATATTAAATATATGATATTAATGTTTAATTATATAATAGTAATGTTAATTATATAATAATGGTTTTTATTCAAAACCATAGAAATCTTGCAGACACAATAAATTGTGTATGTGTTTTTGTATGCTGGCAATTTTCTTTTTCTTTATTAATTTAATTACTGAAAAGAAGATCCTAATTAGTTTTTTAGATTTTAATTAATCTTTTATCTTTTATTTATTTATCTATGTCTGCGATATTTCTATAGTCTTGAATGATAAAAATTATTCAGTTATCAAAAACAAAAACAAATAATTAAAAAGTCGACATATTATTCAAGATATATAATTTAGCAGTTTTTTTAAATAAAAAATTAAATATTAATTAAACTAAGAAATTATAAGTAAACATGATTAAATTATCAAGTCAGTTTAAACGAAGGTTAAAATTTCAAAGAAACTTTCTCGATATTTTAATCACGCTCTCTCATAAAATAAAGTGAAAAAACGATATAGATGACAAATGATTTTTTACCGTTGTAACCGCCAATGACGAAAATCATATCGTCGAGGATCACCGTGGCGAAGTTGCTGCGTGGGCTGAACATTTCAGCGATTTCGTGCCACTGATCCGAATGGTCTGGAGTGTAACGCTCTCCTGGAAAAAAACAAAAAAAAACAAAATAAATGTTTATTTTGCGCGCGCACACACGAATGGGATACCACTCATCTATAAAATCCGTTATTCCAAACGCGAAACATTATTGGGTATATACAGTTACATGCACGTTCATAGATATCAATGCACGTGCATAGGCATCAATTGCACGAACAGTTGACAACAGTTTGCAATTCAAAACTACGGCAGAAAAAAAAGATTACTAAAACTTTCTCCTTTGTTTTTTGCACCGCTGCATCTTTTATCAATAACTCATTTAATAACAAATTGTTAACTTTCAATCTGAATTTAAGTCTGAGCATTTGACAGTACGCAGTAATTACTGATGAAGTTATTGTTGCCTTTAATATATTTAATTTATTTGTTAACAATGGTTTTTTGTTTTTGTTATAAATTAGACTTAAGAATTCGGAAGCTATCTACTTCATCCATCAAAACGAGCTACTTAGCGATATTTTTTGCGTTTGAAATTTTTGCATTTAATTGTTTTTGTTTTGCGTCTTTAAGTAAAAAAAAAAAAAAGATATATCGAAAACATTTTTGCTAGAATAGCAAGTAGACAATAGTTTTATTATATGACCAACAAACAAAATTTGTTAGATCTACTAAATTGATTGCTTTGTCAACAAAACATTTGTTAGCGAAAGAAAATCTTCAGTAGACGAAGTTTTCTTACTGGCCGTATAATAGCAGAACTTTTTTCCGCATATTATTATTATTATTATTATTATTATTATTATTATTATTATTATTATTATTATTATTTTAGTATAACGGACAGTTGCGGTGAAATAGCGCAGAGTACGCAAACGTACTTCAGTAGGTATGAATTATGACAAACGCGTGGAGTTTCCTGCGGAGCTTACCTCGGCTAATTAATTACTAACACACAATACAACATATGTGTGACGTCAATGCAGGTAAATCGATCTACCTGTGCGCGCATTTACATACACAACGCGAACAATAGCTTTCGATGATTTACCCGCGTCTAAAATCAACACAAGAGTTCATTAAGTATCAGGTATAATATTATTCTTCTCAAATAGTACAAAAACGCCCGAAGTGCTTTTACTTTAGATGCGCGGTTATCGAAGCAGATGAGCAAAGTTGTTAGCCAACAATATATGTCTTCGGGCGTTGTAACGTTGATACGTAAATAACTTTGCGGTTGACATCGGAAGCAATCAAGAGCTTCTCCGCATAGTTTCGGGAAAATGACGGCAACGATAAGATATTATTATACATATCTACCGGAGCTCAATCTGGCGACGCCGCTGAATCCGCCGAGAGCGTACAGGCTGTCGCGAAACGCGACCAGAGAGACGCCGGATCGCGGGCTGATCATCGGACGGATGTTGGTCCACTGATTGGTCTCCACATTGAAGACTTCGACCGAATCGAGGACCTCTTGACCGTTAAAGCCGCCGACAATGTAGATCTTGTCGTGCAGAGCGGCCGCGCTCGCATCCGATCGCTGCCGATGCATGGACGGTATCATCTCCCATTGATTCCGCTGCGGCTCGTATCGCTCGCCGGAACTCATCCTCGTGCGGCCGTTGTAACCGCCGAGAGCATAAATCTTGCCACCTTGAAACGGCGTGCGAACAATGCGCAGTAAGTAGACAATGGGAAGCGACGTGAAAGGCAAAAACAAATCATTTTATTGTTGGTCGGATATTTAACCAAAAGGTGGAGAAGAATTTGCTCTCTTAGTCAAGTGTAAAAGACGTCTTTTCTTTGAATCTTATACTATTCTTTGAATAGGTTTTTTTTTTGCTTTTTTTCTAAATAATTTATTACGTATCTGATGCTTTTTCGCGGTGTGTTACAAAAATTCTAGTTTTAAAGTTTGAACCGCGTGTCAGGCTGAAACCCTGATGAACGGAAATATTCACGAAACGTCGGTATAAAAATAAACGTCGTTCAAATTCGAAAACCATTTTTGAAAATAACGTCTGTACTTCTTCTTTAATACACAAAGTATCAGCGTTATTTTCTCTTGCGAGCACATTTATTTTTGTGCGAAGAAATTTGGTTTCAAAAGTTTTCGTCTTGTACGAAAGTGTCAAACTCACCGTGCGTGCAAACACTGACGTAACATCTGGCGTGATACATGCAGGCTCGTTCCCGCCAATCTTTCGTCACCGGATTGAAACATCGCACCGTATTGAAATGCTCATTGCCGTCAAATCCGCCGATCATGTAAATTAGATTGTTCAGAACGCACAGACCGTGATAGGCCCTCGGCGTTACATCCGTGTTCACTGATAGAAACCATCTGTCAGCTCTGAAGTTCACAGTTTTGGACACGTTACACGAATTTCTCGAAACGTTTAATTCTTTTGGCGTAAAACACAGTGCGAGAGACATCGTTTGTGCAAAATCAATACCAAGTCTCTTTCGCGGATTTTATTCAATGTCTTTTTGCAACAGTAAATACTAAAAGATTATTTTTTTATTTCCGATTATTGACGACGCACGAAAAAAAATAGTTTTGCTGTTGTATGAAAAATTTGTATACGTTGTATCTATTGAACATATTGCTAATGACGTTATTTATGCGGAAAAAAAAGTTTGTCAGAATAGCAAGAAGATTAGTTATTATATAGCCAGCAAAAGAAAAATTTGCAATTTCCACGAATTCGCAATTTTTTCCTATTGAAGTTTTTGTTTCTGCCGAAACGTTTTGTTGGTGAAACAAAAACTTCAGACTCGGCAAATTGTTTTTTTTTTTTGCTGGTCATATAACAGCAGATTTTTTCTTCGGGAATTTAAAATTTAAATCTTATACACGCATGATTCTCTCCGTTCTTTCGATTTGAAAATTTTGATTATGCGTTATTGATTTTATTGTGCTCGGCGCACCTTGTGTCGTATGTCTCCACGAAACTGGTCGGCGAACCGGCACTCCATCCCCCAATCGCGAAGAGAATTTCGTATGGGATTCGGGGTGTTGCAAGAGGATTCTTTAAGTCAACTTCGCCGGTCTGTTTCAAATCTTGCTCGCTCAGATAAGCGTCGACGGTACGCAATATTTTTTGACACGCCTTAAGAAGTTCGTATCGTTTTAACACACAGACTCGTGATTACGTGAATAAAAATAAAAATCCAAGTCAGATCGTTAGAGATGCGCGATAAGAAACGTTGTTATTAAAAATTCATCTTACTTACATCATTGATAAAGCTTATATTTTTATTTCTGTATTCGTTTGAGCGAAATAAAGAGAGTGACGAGAAAAGATTAACGAAAGTGACGAAGGTGGCTTACTTCGTCGTTCTCGACGAGCTTCCAGTTGGCGATGTTATTAATAAAATACTTATGACTCAGAAGGCCATAACGTATACATTCCAGCAGCTTCGGCAAATAAACCCGTCTATCCTCGACTTTGCTTTCGACCCATATCTTGACGGCGTCAAACACAATCTCCTCGTTTTTAACGTTGAGCTCGTCGTCGCGCAATATTGCTTCCAGCTCGTCGCAAAGAAGATCCTTGAACTCCGAGCTCTCCTGCAGTATCCGTTTGAAGTGGTGTCGTATGTACTTCCGGCCTTGTTTCTCGAGGTCGCGGCAGAAGTAGTGACGCGCGAATTTGAAGATACCTGCAACCATGTTAACGTAATAAAACAGCGTAAATGTAAATATATTTCCTCTAATAAATTGCATCGAGGTACGTGTTGACTTTGAAAGTTGGAAGTCAACATTCGGTGCTTCGCTTGAGCAAACAATTTAAATACGAGAGAAATTCAACTTTCCGTCTGTTATTGCGCCTGCATTAGATAAACTGGAAACTTGATGAAATTAGAGTTGATATAGTTCGAATTACCTAAGCAGTTTTCTGGTCGTAGTTCCTGCAACAGAAACTGACAACAGAGCTGAACGATTCCGAGCACCTCAAACCGATCAGCGAGCGGCAGCAATTGTTCGACATTGTCCGCATTAACGTTACAAGTGCCCGTGTAGGCGTAATCGAGGATCAGACTGAAAATCTCGCCGGGTACGGAACTGATGACAACTTCCGTAGTCTCGGTTTTGCCGCCTTTCAGACTGTTGGTGAAAAGAGCCTTGAAGTAAGGGCTTACCGCGGATAAAATAGCGCGATGAACTGGGAAGACTTGATCCCCTGGGCATCTTATAACGCCGTCGCACAGCTGCTGGTTAGCCCTAAAGACAGACTTGTCACAGTTCCAAGAATGTTCTCCACATGGTCATTAATTTAAACTAAGTGTGTTTACGTTTAAACGGAAATGATGCAAAAAGAGAATTTGTAATTTGCTTTCGCACGGAAATTAAACAATTTAAAGGGGATGATACTTTACACCATAGGTTTTGTTACGATAAAATTAAATTTAACCATGTGAAAATACACAGTGAAGAATCATTTTCAATTTCCCTTGTTGAATGCATGTATGTGAGAAGAGAAACGGAAACAAAGCGTGTCACAGAGCAACGCTGTAATCAATAAGTGAAATCGGCTAATTCTCTAAAAGCCCCGCGCGCGAGCTTTGAGCCGGCGACTTTATCCTTTTGACCACTTGATTTACCGACAATAGAAGGAGCCGGCCGATGGCCAGTGTGCGCGAAGACAAGGCTTTAATTACGGCATGATTACAGACCTTAGCTCGGACCAGATTACGGGAAATTCGACGAGAGCGTAATTGGACGGCAGACACATGCATTTCCTGATTCTCGCCGACTGTTTTCGTCTGGATTGCCTGACGAGCCTGCTGATGCCGGAAGTGACGGCGCGTGACACTCGACTGCGGCAGGACGATCTTCTATAGCTCATTCTGCCAATATTCATTTCTTTTTATCGCGGTGGCGGCGGGGTTCACCCGGTGTCGCGCGCCACCACCTGTGTGTCCCCGAGCTCTTCCCGCCGCCTCTTCTGTCTTCGCCGCTTACGCTGAACAACCGGCAGTTCTCGTATTCGCGCACTCTTGACAGACGCGAGTCCCGATTGCGCCGAGACGCGCGGCCATGACAGACGAAGACCGAAAATCGACCGGCCGCGATTCGATCTGATCTCGTAAGTTCGAGTCAAATCGCACAATGCGGAGATGTTCACCAAACTTCTGTCAGTTTGTGGCTAAATACACAGTGACAAATTTNTTTTTTTTTTTTTTTTTTTTTTTTTTCTACTAGAGAGTATATTTGAGAACATCGACATAAAAAATCTTAACTAAATTCACGATAAGACAAAATTTTGAGCGAGATTTTGCGTAAGATAAGAAATTCTTTTCTCAAGCATCTCGCCGGAAACTATTTTATCATTGCGAATAAAACGCTTCGCCACGTCTCGCTGCTTCGAGTAATATCCTCCCTCGTAGATAAACCGCGTTTCCAGTTCATTTACTATCTTGCAGAAAATAAAAGATCGAGTAATTTCGAAAATAGACTCTAATCCCTGGGATGTATAATAAGACTTGAATTCTAAAAAAAAAAAAAAAAGAAAAAAAAGAAGGAAAGTATTCATACTCGGATCGTAAAAATGATTCTACATCAGGAGTGTGTTGCGAGAGGAAAGTTTTAAGTGGATTTTCACTGCCATTATTATAAAGAACGTGCCTTTGTGTGCGTTATCCATCCGACCGATAATTCCTGGGATAAAGGCGCAAAGTAAAAACGAAAAAAAAAAAGACGAACACGATTGTACGAGATAATGGAAGTGTTTTCCGTCGCGGAGTAGCAGAGAAAACGGATGTTTCTAATGTATCGATTACACGCAGAATAAAATTCCGTCCTCTTCTCGCTAGATGGACGCAGCATCTGTGTTCTTTCAATATTGGAATTAGTAACACAAGCTTTTTGTTTTCTTCCTTCCAAGAGAAAGCACAAATTTGCTTCGTTCTTCGATTGCATTAAATACTTGCTTTTGATTATTAATATTATCGTTAAATGTAACACAAAACATTAATCGCAGAATTGTCATCGCGGAATTAATTATTTATTATTTTGATATTTATTAATTTTGACTTATGGTACGCGTAAAAGGAGTTTGTTCCTAGATACATACCCAAAAAACTGTATTTCCATCCTTTTTTTTAAGAAGCTTTTCCAACTTGACAAAACAAAACATTTTTCTCACTGGAGAAATAACAGCGCAATTTCGAACCCTCCGTCTCTCGTAACCCTCTTAAATTGAATCGGTAATACAATGATCCCGGAGACTGTTGGACATTTTTCCATTTTTCCCGTACTATTCGTCCCGTGACCGCGGTGACGAATTTACATACTTCTCAAGACTGTAAATATAAAATCACTCATAAAAAAAATAATTCACTTAACGAAAAATGAAGAATTTTGTTTAAGCGTTAGAGCAAATACGCGTGCGGTGACGAAGTAATTAACATTTAGAGAAAAAGAAACATCTCTTACGGGAGAGTTTGAGACAGAGTCTCTCTTTTTTTCTTTTTACCGTGTAACTGTTTTATGTATCTTTTACTTTAGACGTGATGTTGCTTGTAATTATTTCACATTTTGTTCTATTTCAAAGTTAAAAATAATTTCAACACACACGATATTTTGATATTGTACGAAGCTACAAAACATACACTACTCTTTTCTTCGCAACTTTTATTGCAAAATATTTTATATTTTTCTTTCTTTCCTTTATATATATATATATATATCTCCCTTCGTTGTAGTTTACATTTCTTTTTCTTCTCTTTTCTATTTTTCTTGTTCTTGTCTTCCATTGCTCGCACCTCAGGCTGCTTCTTTACTCAAGTACTCCGATTACGTCACTAGCGCACAGGTGTATTCCCAATACACAACGTTACATTTTCACACAAGTACGTGCGTGAACAAATGTGTTTCATCTGTTATACGGAAGATACGTATAAATTCTAAACAAGAGAGAGAGAGAGAGAGAGAGAGAGATGATACTACATTCATACGAAGAAATTAGCGGAACATCTCGTGTGGAGTATGATTACTTCGTAACCGAGGTATTTTCGTTGAAATGTCACATCTCGCAACAAATTCCACACACGAGGAAATGCAAATCTAAATACACAAAGCGATTAAACCGCTGTCACAATTGTCGCACTTACACAATTGTTTTTCCCTTAATTTTGTGGAAGAACATTATGTTTTTTTTTATTAAATATATAAACGTATTAAATGTACGCGGCAAAAAAGATTTGCTAGAGAAGCAAAAAGAATTAGTTGCTGTATGGCGAGCGAGAAACATTTGCAAAGTCTGACGAATTTTTTCGTTTCGCCAACAAAACGTTTTGTTAATAAAATAAGAAAATTATCAATAGACTCAACAAATGTTTCTTCCTGGCCATATATTATAGCAAAACTGTTTTTTATGATTAACAATTTATCAAAAGAATAATTCGCGCAATTAACATTTTCTTGCGCGAATATCGAATACGCGCGGGAAATAATAATTGCTAAGTCGGAATTCGCACAGTTGCGAGCGAATTTAAATTTAAATTAATTTGCGCATGAGAATAATAATTTCTAATCTATTTTGCCTTTAATTTACAACTGAGATACGTATGTAAATTTCTGCAGGACGGTCGTCGCGTTACGTACGTAGCTATAATTTAGCACGCGCGCGTATATGCATGTTCACGAGCGAGCTTGACGCACTGTTATTGGGCATTACGCTTTCGCTCGTAATAATCGCGAATACGGATATAACGCGCGCATTACGATGATTATCACGTAAATATCAACTGCGGACTGAACACTCACAAAGCGCACTTCGACGTGCACGTCGAAGGATTTTAAACAAAATTAATCCTCGCGAAGAACAAAATCCTTTTAGCGTGCGAATTGCAAATAGGGTTCGATACGATTTAATATGATGAATTATTTGGCGAGCGCTAAAATATCTGAAAATATCAAATATTCGATAGAAATATCGTTCGTGATTTAAATAAATGTTAGTTTCGCCATGCCATGCGTACGTATTATTTTTTTTTAACAAAAATTAATAAATACTAAAATACGCTACAAAAAACAGTATAGCAGAATTAAGTTTATTGACAGAATTAATTTTCGACAAGTGTTATTCATCAGACAGAAGCTAGTCGAATTTTTCGAGATCTTATACAACAGAAAAAAAATCTATTGGCATAATTATGACCTTGGAGCAAGTAGAAGACTGAAATTTTTCACCGACATAGCACACACACACACACACACACATATAGAGGAAAGAGAAAGAGAGAGAAAGCTGCCAATAAGCTCCCAATTGCTCGAAACGCGTGGAAAATACATTCTCGAATGAGCATTGGGACCATCAATGTCGTGAAAACGACCGGAACTTCAAGCCATGTTTACCCGCGAGAATGGAAATGAGCAACTGGATCGCTCGGCGTTTAAGTTAAACAAAAAAAAAAAAAAAAAAAAAAACGGGGTATTGGCTATTTCGCACGTCGACAGTAGAACGTTTTTCAAACGAACGAAAATATTAAAGAGTAGAATAATCGCTGCGCGCGTTGCGTTATATCGACGCTTCTTTAAATATCGCCCGATATAAAAAGTGACATATTAAAAATTGTATGAACAAGCAATTTTATTTTCGAAGTGACATTAAACTCGGTATTTGCGCAAAATTGACAATAACACTCGTGTGCGACGTTTCGCGATGAAATAATAATTTCGCTCCCAGATTATTTATTTCTCGACGAGTTCTCGCGATATATTCAGAAACCGAATTCGTAAATGCTCTTTACGATTCACACACAGTCTTTTCTCAGGACACATTTCATTTCGTACTTACGGTCGATCGGAATTCAATCCGATCATCAGATTCAACTGCAATTTGCGAAATACTGATAAACGAGAGATATCGGAGAATATACGAAAGCTTGAAGCAAAATGAGCCAACGTGAGGGAAATGAGGGGAGAAAAGAGCCGCATAAAAAATTTCATGTTTGTATATATACCGATGTCCGCGGAACCCGAAAAATTGGTCACGCAGAACTAAGATGGATCGTCGTTGGGAGTTTCACTTGAGAGAAATGTCACATTTTTTTTTTTTTTAGCCAGTCACGCCATTTAAAACTCTCTCTTGTGTCGCTACCTCAACGGGAAGGGGATTTCACATGTCGCGGTGATTTAATAAAAGCACATTTTTTATTTACACGCGCGCGGAGTCTCGCTCGACGTTTCTATTAATTCCGTATTATCGCGCGCCCAATAAAATCACACTCCGCTGCCGGATGAGTCGTGAAATGATAACTGAAAATTTCCCGGTTGCGAAAATAATGCTCACATTGCAGTTGACATCTTAACATGTATCACGTGTGTGACAAAGGTTTTATTATATACTGCCAGCACAACAATTCGCGATGATACTAACGCGGACGACTGTGATTTACGATCGTTGCCGTATGCTGTAAATTACGAAAAAAAAAAAAAAAAAACAAGAGCAAGAAGAGAATCCGAAAAAACTCTTTTTTCTGCGAAGGCACCGCTTAACGTGGAATAACACTTTTATATACGAGCGTATATAAATCTTTTGTGTATATGAAGATTTAGATCGAAAATATCTTGATCCTTGCAATTCTTCTAGGGATTGAGAGATATTGTAGTCAACATAAATGATTTTAGATCGCTTTTATCAATCACGACATTTTATCAATTTGACGTTTTATTTGACAATTTAATTTTTTCTCTTATGAACTTCCACACAGGAATCTTTACAAAACGCTACAATTTTTTTGATACATTTATTGTTGTTTTGACTTTCTCTAACAGTTGACACGCGATTACAATTTTTGAATTGATATTAAAAATATGTCATGTTAAGGTTATTTTTCAGTTTTTAATTACAGAATATGTTTTTAATATTTGTATAGAAAATATAAACAAATGTGTACTTGAATTGTTTATATAGATTGGCAAAAGATAAGACAAAAATAATCTAAACATTCCGATTACATTGAGAAATATCAATTTAATTCTATTAACCACTACCGATGGACTAGAGTTTTTAAATTTATTTTGTTTTTAGATTTTTCTCGAAACTTGTTTTTTTTTAATAACAAATAGTATATTTAATAACATAAATAGTATATTTTATTCTGCATGAGATCAAAAATGTAGAGTACTAAGTTTGAAAAAAACGTAAAGTATTAAGTTTGATTTCTATAACGGCAAACAACGAAACAAAATAATTAAAATAAAAATGACGAACAATCGCGAAAACTTTTCGATAAAAGTGAGATTTAAAATCTCGAAGTGCTTTTCAGCGCGATTTACATTGTCACTCTCTTAGCTTTAAATCGCCGATCCAGACACATTACACGAATCATCGGAGGCTCCACACATTTTGTCTTCTACGGTCGATGTCACCCAATCAGATTGTCAGATTCAATTCCAATTCGCGAGACTACTTCTGGCAAATGGAATAACCTCTTCGATCAAAAATAGGAAGAGAAAAGTAGAAGCTTAAATCAGTTTCCTGGCCGTTTACAATGGTCGAAAGAAACAATCGTATCGCCCAAGTGTGATTGTTTCAGCTGCTACAAGCAATCAAATTAACACTTCAACCGAAGCAACACATTGCAATATTTTTTTTGCGTTAAGTATTGAGTCATTAAGTATGAAATTTGATAAATCTATATATATATATAACATTAATTAATATATATATATATAATTTTTAATTAAAATGATTAAAATATATACACAGTTTAATTAAAATATACATGTAATTTTTAATTAAATTTTTTACGAGAAAAGCGCGCGCGTTTTATTATAAATTAAAATTGGCACAATCGCAATATGAAAGATTTGATAAATTTATTAAACTCGTAACATGTAAATTATAATATAGCCATTAAAGTAGTTGGAAAATTTGTTCTTAATTTGTGGACGCTAACTAGTTGGAGTTGCCCATAGTTTGGCGAAGGCGCTCCACCCTTTTGGCCAAGATTGTTCATAACTCTAGTGTACTTTGGCGAATTCTAACTAAAGTCTATATTCTCTTCTACACAAATTTACTTCGCTTTAGCCGGTCGTAATCTAGGTTACCGGTGAGATAAAGAAATAGCTATTCGGATTTCTTTCAACACTTCTCACGCTTACGTTAGGTTAACAATTGGTCAATATATTGAGTTTGAGTGGTCATCTCATTGGATTCAAAACTTTTGTTTCAATTTGCGGCACGTTCTCGCAGAAATCCCGCAAAAAAAACGTAGTTACGAAAACATGATTTTCATTCGTGATATTAAGGAATTTAAACGTTTGCACAAATGTTGATTTTTGAGAGAACATTTCTCTGATGTTTTTTGCGTTAAAAAGCTTAGAATTCTAATGTTGTTTTCTTTTTAAATAGATTTAAAAAAAAATTTTAGAATAAATAAAATATACATGTAGAAAAGTTCCAAAAGTTGCGCGAGAAATTATTTCTCTCTCAAAAAATGAAATAAAATAAATTTTACAATAGCTGCAAAAATTTATCTTCTCTTTCTCTCTCTCTCTCTCTCTCTCTCTCTCTTTTTTTTCTCTTCACAACGAGTGTTTCACATTGCTAAAATGAAATAATAGAATCATCAAAGAATTAAAAAAAGTAACGCAAATGTTAACTTTGATTATTAAAAAAAAAAGCATACTTTTTTTGTCATGTTCTTCCAGATATACGCGCGTAATAGAATATATTTGAAAAATTTACGAACTTTTAAAAGATCTGTGAGAGATAACGTTTTATGTTATGTTTGTATGATAAGGTCCGTATAACAGGTTTGCGTCACTGAAATACGCGCGTAAACATCAAACGGCAAACGTAAAAGGATAAACACAAACCATAAAAATAAACGCGTAATTTTATGGGTCAAAAACATACAGGAATATTTCCCATTTCTATCTTCTCACTCGCATAATCATCGGGTACTTCTTTCAGTGAGTAATTCGGTTGTGAGCACGTTTGATATTTTTTCAAACCAACCTGGGTCTCGATTCTGGAAAAAGTTGTTTACGCAAAAGTCTACAGTTTACGTTGCGCGCACGTTGTGAAAATTCTCGTGTGCAAAAATTGTTGAAGAATCGAGACACCGCAAATTTTCGCAAACTCTTGATAGATTTTTCAACCGCTCAGAAAAACCCCGAATCGTTCTCAAAGGACCAAAACCCACCAAAGAGCCACTCAACGGCGGTTTCGAAGGAATTTCGCCGAAGAGGGTGCACGCTGACCGCACGAGATGCATGTCCCATTTCGCACGGACGACGGCACCCAATCAAGCTACAGTCTGGTTTCAATTCTGATTCGCGTCCTGTCGAACGAAGAAAGCGAGAAAACGCGAGCGAGCGAGAGAAAGGACAATTCGGATGTAGGACGACGAGGTCAGGGGAAAAGTCCGTGGTGATGGAGAATCTTTCTCTCGCTCGCTCTTTCTCGCTCTCTTTCCCTTTCTCTCCTTCCCTTTCTGTCTCCGGGAGCGCAAAGGGGTAGGTAGGGATGATCTGGCCTACCCTCTGGTGCTGCTGGTGCTCGCTGGTGCTTTCGACTTCCCCGGGACGGTCTCATGCTGTCGCTCTCTCTTCGTCGCCGCGCGATAGCGAGCGCGGCGTCGCGCGTCTACCGAGAGTAGGAGTGAGCTGGCCAGAGCAGTCAGTTCGATACCGAGCGCCGAAGCGTTCGGTTCGCTCAGCTTGCGAACCGTACCGTCGTGTTATCATCGTTGTCTCTGTTATCGTCGCGTGCCGGAAACATCGTAAGATCCACGCGGGCCCTCGCGTCTAGAGAGAGAAGACCGCGAGAGCGTCGAACGATAGGATTGCATCCGCGAGAAACGCATTGTCACTTGAGAAAAATACAATCTCTGAAATTAAAAAACTTCGACCGCCCAGCGAAAAGTATTGAAATTGCGATCGAACGTCTTAAAAGGATTCTCTTTTCTTCTTTTTGTTACGAGAAGATCAGTCGTCACTTTTTGTACGGAACGGGTTTATCAGTTGTCAACCGGCTTATCAGTTCTGAAGCGGGACAATGCGCACTGAACCATGTGTACCTTGAGAGGCTTTGCTTTGATCGCTCGGTGAATGAGGTCTTTGAATTCACGAGTTGTGGCCAGGAAGAAAGGACCAGTGCCCAATCTTCAATGGGACCTAATGCGGAGAGAGAAAGAGCTTCGGGAAAAACAGGCGAATATAAATGCCACTTTTCACAGGATCGCCGTTCCGCGAGGTATAGTCGATACTTTCGTTTACAAGTAGTCGCACACGTTAAACCACAACCTGTTAAATGTTTTACTCAATTCGAACTAATCGCCGGCGATTATCACGGAGAACACTTAAGGGAGAAACGGAGCTTTAGGGTCAAATTCCCCAAGGAGGAGACGGGTGACTGCCGCCTCGCGTGCGCTTCGCGGACAATTTGACGCCGGTCGAATTGACAAAAGCATTTTAACGACTATTGTCGTCACATGGCCGTTTCTCAAATTAATATCCGCGCGAATCGTTTTTCCAATTGACTCGCAAATTATTATACCCGGGATGAGTTACGTTTCGCCGGCGCGAAAAAATAAAAAAAATAAAAAAAAATTTAATCAAAACGTACGCGTGATAGCGAAAGGATTATGTTTTGTCTAATTACTCGCGCGAGAGGTATGTTCCCGCGATGTCGCGCGGAAAATTTAACAATTTCAGGAACGGAACGGGGAGAAGTGCGCGCACGAAGGAATGTAGCGGCTGATACGCCGCACACGCAGTAGAGTATGCGCGGTTTGCTCCGCCGTGCACGGTAAATGGCGGGATGGTTCGTAGTGAGCGGGGCATAACCCACGTATTTGACATAGATATGTACGCGTGTCGATCCGCTTCGTCGCGCGTCTCGCCGTAATTTCTAGTAATTAAGCGGGCTATAAGCGATGTGATTCCAGACCAAAACAACTCGGAACGAACGGAGAAACGCGTCATAGAAGAGGGGGAGGGGGAAGATGCCCGACAGAGAACATAACAATAGGGACAATAGAAAGGACTTTGCTCGTTCATTATGAACGCACAACATCAGGTCGAAAATGCAGTACGTACACAAATATACATCGTGTGTGTATGCGTGTGCGTTAATGGATTAGTGCAATTAAATGTAGAAAGCGGTTTTAATCGATTCACATTTGTTATAATATCTCGAAAACTACGTCGAAGAATAAAAACAAACTGTAGACGAGTGCCACTTTCGGTCAATTTTATCGATTTTGTTGAGGTTTTGGTGGACACGCGAAAAATAATTCGTCCCTTGCTCTGACGTGGAGATGTAAACGCAAAAAGTACGTGCAAAAAATAAAAGAATTTAATATTCATGACTACTCAAATGACTACTTACATACAAATGATCATTTATTAAATCGCGATAATGTTTTTTTTTTTTTTTTTTTTTATCTTTAATCAAAGACTTGTCTCTTCTGAACGGAGATAATAATTACGTTATAATAATTCCGAACACTTAACGAGACGAAGCTCTATGCAATTTTAAACGTGATAGATTACTAATTTGCGAAGAAAATTCGCGCCCGCCGTCGTAATTATTTCCGCTTTAACTCCGTTTTCTTTCGCTCCACTTTCGACTCGGTTATAATGTAATTTAATTTCTTCGCGAATTAACAGTAAAATTGTGCAACTTCAAAGAAACCTCTCGTGTGTCACCTCAACGCGCGACACTCGCAGATTCTCGTGATATTAATCGCGGCTCGTTTCGCGCGCCGCGTTAGGATAATTCGTTCCTCTGTTGTCTCCAACGGGACGCACTAAATTGCGAGAAAGCGTGGAATGCATCGGACGCGAAAGTGGCGGCGTTTTGCTGAAATCGCAAAAGTTTTGTGGGCGAGCAATCCGTTAAAAAAAAAAAAAAAAAAAAAAAAAAAAAAAAAAAAAAAAGTGAGTGTCGCGAAATGCCAGAAATTTTTGCTCGCCC